CCCCCCCCTTTTTTCGTTGCTTGGCAACGACGTTGTAGAACAAGCCGATCGCTTCGTGAGCGAGACCACTAGGTTACGGCTTGTTTTTGTGTTTTTTTTTTTTTTTTGCGGTAACCAAAGTGATGGTCGAGTAGATTATGTTGTGCGGGGTCGAGAACCCTCACTCCGCGCAAGGGGATGGATGATCGCACAACGTTGTGTTAAATTGGTCAAGCACCCTGGAGGCAGTTACACAGTGCTCGTAACTGTCTCTGGAAGTGAAAGCACCAGAAAATAAACTGAGTCATACGTAACTAGCTATCATCCGTATCCAAGGAAGAAAGCACAAGATGCCGAACACGCTTTAGCAGGATGCAGCGCACCCTCCGTGCGACTCGCCGAATACCTCATGGCGCTTCGCGCTTGGTGATGTGAGAGCCTGGTCCGGTGAGAACCCGGCGTGCTCCGTCCCGGCGTTGTAGGGATGCGAGGTCACTGGTCTAATAACGACTGCGGCACAACAATTGAGTACCCCCCCCCCCCGCCCTTCCAAACGCCCTCCCCGCGTCGTTGACGGTACGGAAGGCCACCGGCAAGCGCGTGGCGATGAAGAAGGTGAAGGATGTTTTTCGAGATCTGGGGGACGCCAAGAGAATACTGCGGGAGCTCAAGCTGCTGCGGCATTTCCGCCCTCACGAGAACGTGGTGACGATCCTTGACATCATGGTTCACCCAGAGAACTCCCTCGATTTCAGGTGCAAGCCCCGGAGAGGCCGTTCCGCGTGAAGTTCCGTTTGACGTTCCGTGCGCTGTCTCGTGCTTTTCTGTCGAGCCGTAGCTTGTCGATCATGGGCGAGGGTGCTCTGCCTTAGCATCAGGGTGCAAGGAATGCCCCGCGTGTTTCCGAAAACAACACCTCATGTTTGCTTTGGTGGTTTCGCTGCGGTACTGGGGAAGACGCTTGTTGGCAAGAAGATGCCTCGTCTACCTGTGCTCTTGTTTTTGTGCAATTACGAGCCACAACGTGTTTTTGGTTAGTGCGTGTCCCCTCTTGTTCCAGAGACCGTGTTGTTTGCCCTTCCTTGTGGTACAAGCTGTCGTCCGTAAGCTAGTGAGCAGGCTTTCCCAGAACGAGATTTGTGGCGCTTTGGCCGTGGATGCTATCCGAATAACGGGACCTCGCGATGAATCAGACAGGACCGCAGCAGCTCGTCCTGACCTATCGGCCGCGCTGTGTGCATGTGTGTGTGTGTGTGTACTCTGGTCGCTCTCCAGGGATGTGTACATCGTGACGAACCTCATGGAGTCGGACCTACAGAAGATCATCGCCAGCACCCAGCCTCTTACCGACCAGCACTTCCACTACTTTCTATACCAGGTTCGGTTGCACTTTGCCTGATGGCGGGTTGCCCCCCCCGATTTGCGAGCTGGTTGAGTATGGACATGGAGTGGCCCCGCAGTGTGGATTGTCGCCACGGTAGGCTGATTTCATGCCGTCCTGTGCTATCGGTGTATTTTTGGGGTACCCGTGTGTTTGATGGGCGGCCTATCTCTTGACCGTACATAAAATTGCCTGTCTGTATCAAGGTAAATACCATACTGCCCACCCCCCCTGCTGTTGGGCTGCTGTTTTCGCATCCCTTCCCCTCCACACACAAATTCCCCCCTCTCCGCCCACAATAGTGGTTGGTACGGCATCGAAGCACAACTGTGGAGTGGTGGCATGGGGATAAAAACGATTTTTAGGTTCAGGTTAAAACCCTGTTCCTCCGCGCCGACTGGTCTACGTCTCATTGGCCAAATACGTCTCAAGGCTAACCCCCCCCCCCCCCCCAACAACAATATGTGGCAGTTGCTGAGAGGCTTGAAGTACATCCACAGCGCGAACGTTCTGCACAGGGACTTAAAGCCGTCCAACCTCGTCTTGAACGCCAACTGCGACCTGGCCATCTGCGACTTCGGGTTATCCCGGGGGGTCGAGCAAGAAGGGGGCGAGACGCTAACCGAGTAAGTGGAATTTCAGCTCGTCTTCAGGGAGAGTATACAGATGTGTTCGACATTTATTATTTGTCCTCCCGGCCGACATCGCTCCAGCCGCCTCGCGCTCCCTGTTATTAACAAAAACGGTGATGCTGTCGAGTTTTGTGTGAAGTGACGTTGGTTTTTTGTGGACGTCTTGTATTTCGTGCTTTTGCGATGACCATCCACGATGCTGACCATCAACGATGATGACCATCCACGCAAGATGACGATCCTCCATGTTGACCATCCACCACGATGACCCATAGGTACGTCCAGACTCGATGGTACCGCGCGCCCGAGCTGCTGTGCTACTCTAGCACGTACGACACGGCGGTGGACATGTGGAGCGTCGGGTGCATCTTCGCGGAGCTGCTCGGGCGGAAGCCCTTCTTCCGGGGGAAGAACCCCATGCACCAGCTTCAGGTACGGGACGGGTACAGTGGTGGTCCCGATACACCGCGGTGTAGTCAAGAACAACCGCGGTGCGTAGCACGGTACGGGTACGGTGGTGGTCCCGATATACCGCGATATATGTAATTGTTTGTCGTTCACAACCGCGGTACGTCGGGACACCGCACTGTTGTTCGTCGAGGAATAAATGGTATGGTAGCCAACTCCCGTGACAAGCGATTACTAACGACGGGTATCGGAGTGCAAACTACACGGGACCGCGGTACGGTGTATCGGGACCACCGCTGTACACGAAACCCGCAAACGAACGCAAAACCGTCAGGGTGGTTTGGGTTGTTGGCTGTTTTGAGGTTTGCGGCGGGACTTCGCCCTTTTGCAGCTACGTGAGGGCTTTACTAGTCAAAGCTCGTTTCCGCGAATCCCTTGCCCCGGCCCAGACCCCCACATCTCTCCTAATCTTGATCTTGTTGAGATGGTCGTGGTCGTGTTTGGGTGTGAATCGGAAGAGGACATGTCCTTCATTGTACGCCCCCCCACCCCCCCTTCATTCTACAGACCCCCTTTCCCATCCCTCTCCGTTGGTCACATGATGTGCTCGGGTATCCCTCCGGGGAGGACATGTCCTTCGTTCTACGCCCCCCCTCCCCCGCCCATCTCTCTCCTTACCCTAACCCTATAACTAAACGGTGTCCAGATGATCGTGGACGTGCTCGGGTGTCCCTCCGAGGAGGACATGTCCTTCATCCAAGACAAGGCCGCGAGAGCCGTGGTCTTGCAGCACGCCAGGCAGGCGGTGGCAAGGAGGGGGACGGGGGGGGTGCGGCCCCTGGCGGTGTACTTCCCGACCGACACGAGCCCGCTCGCTCTCGACCTGCTCGCCAAGATGGTGGGTGGAGTTTTGGAGTCTGACGCTGCTACTACGGATGGGGTTGGGCTGCGAGCGTGAGATTGGCGGGGAGAAGCGTTAACCGCCCTTTGCTTGTTGGCCCACGGGAGATTTTTCATGGCGCTAGGGTCACATCCCGGTTGTCACATCCCGGTTGAACCGCTGGTGGTGGTGGTGGTGGTGGTGGTCTGGGCTCCAGCTATGTATTCATGCTTGATCGCAAAAGGACATGGGTAGTGTCGTCGTTCAAGGTTTCTCGCACGTGTGGGGAGGGAAAGGTCGGGCACAGCCCGCACAAGGCTACATCGGGTTACCCTCTTCATGTCCCCCCCCCCCCCC